TCATTCTGAAATTTTCTGAATATTTGTTGCACATCTGCCGGTGGAAAGAGGCGCGACGCCAGCGATTGGAATCTTTATCTACGTTTTGCCAAAATATTACTGATGATTACAAAAGGCTGATAGCATGGTTGAACAAAACAGAAATTACACTAAAGCAAATGAAAGCTAACCCGACATCCAAATTTGGCGAAGTATTAAACAGAATAAAGAAATTGCAAGTTCTTAAAGCAGAAATGGATATAAATCAGAAGAAATTAACATCTCTACAAGAATCAATTCAGGATGGTAACAGCTCGTCTTTAGAATACGCGGATATTTTGGAGAATATGAAAAATCTGCAAGATCGATGGGAAGCCGTTGGACAAATCATGGAAGTACAATCCCAAAGGGTAATTTAAGATTTTAGAATATTACATTTAAAATATATTTTGTTCTTTAATTCTTAAATAATATATTTTTCTTATATTGCGCATTAGATAACAAATTCTGGATTTGAGTTTAATTTAAAATTTGAAGAAAACATAACAACTATTAAAGAAAACAAATGGATGTCCGAAACGATAACAAGTATAGCATATAAAGAAGAGATTACTGCAACAGTATATATTTTCTTATTATTCTCAATATTTTTTGTATTCGGTTTTCGTGACTAATAAAATACTTTTATTTTCAGTCAACACCACATAGTGATTCAAAGAAACAGCGTGTTGATAATACTACTAAACATGAGTTCAAATCGGCATTACTTCGACTATATAAATGGTTGGATTACGTCGATTTAGAAATCGGCCGTTCGGAAGGAGTGTTTGACGAATTAAGCGTGGAAGAGAAGAAAGTTGTCTATGAAGATACTCTTACAGATATGGATTCGCATAAAAATGAATATGATAAAGTTCTTGAAATTGGTAAACGACTTATCGATGAGTTAAAAAATGCGAACGAGTCCATCGAAGAAGAAGAATCCAAGATTAAAGACATACAAAATTGTTGGACAGCGACAAATAATCGTCTTCATGAGATAAAAAGACGCATAGATTATCTGGAGGAAGTAAAGAAATTCCGGACTGAACTAGCTAGTCTAAATTTGATGTTGGAAAGTTACACCAAGTGGTTTGATACAAATAAAGAAAACAATCAAGAACCATTTAGGGTAAGCTAAAATATTGCCTTTAATATAATTTAATTTTTAATATGAATGTACGCTATTTTAATCTTAATCTTAAAACATTTTATTCAGGTTAAAATGAAATCAATGAAATCCCATGATGAGCGCATAAGAAAAATACTTGAAAAAGCAAAAGAATTGTCAGAAAATCAAGTTGCTGTTACAGAAACTAGTAATATGGACACAGACGTAAAAACTTTTTTGACTAAGTGGGAGAATTTGTATGCAACGTAAGTATTATTGTAAATATATACATATACACATATTATAAATTTGATGTGTTGCTTAATAGAACATAACATTCAGGTTATCCGAACGATTGACTGAAATAATTAATGCCATTAATCGAACACCGCCTAAAAAATACATTAAGGCAGTCACCAATCTGATATCGTTTATATTAATCATTACATTATTAAATGTGGAAAGTGTTCTATTGTCAGAACATATAATTATATTAGATGAGAAAATTATGGAAGAGCAAATAAAAAGATTTAAAGATACACAAAGCTCGTTAAAAGAACAGGAAGAAACTTTCAAATATGTTAACTCTACTGGACAAGATTTAATAGCGAAGATAAATGATAATTCTTCAGGACAGCGACTTAAAGATGAATTGCAAGATGTAAATACTAAATGGAGTGATATTCTTATCATTTTGGAAGAGGAACAACAGACTCTTACCAAAAGTAAATAGAAAATAAAATACGTGTAATATAATGCAAAAGTGCTTGTTTTTTATCTAGTTATTATATTTATGTTATGTTATGTCTTCATAAGAAATTTATTAATATAATGCATGTTTCAGATATCACAATTTTGCAAACGTTTAATACTGAACTTTTTACTCTTGAATCTTGGTTGGAAAAATCGTTATTGTATCTAGAAAATTTATCTAAAGATATTATGGATAATGTCAAAAAAATAGAGCATAAATTAGAGCAAATTCGTTTGTTTTCTCGAAAAATAGATAAAACAAAACCCCAATTAGAAGCACTTCGATTATTAGCAAATAGAATATTCAAAAAATCTGAACCTAATTTTGCAAGCCTGTTAAACAGCAAATTGGAAGTAGTAACATATAAATGGAACACAATTGTTAACAAAGCTAAAAGTTTAAACGACAAATATAAGAGTACTTTAAAGAAAAATGATAACGTAAGTATACATAATCTTTATAAATAATAATATAAATATTTTTTGTTGCATAATAATTTTGTTTTCGTTAGATTATTAATGGTATAGAAGATTTTACAAAGTGGCTGTCAAGTTTAGAAAAGGAGATACCAATAGAGTCAAGAATAACATCTTCAGTTGAGCTGTTTCAAGTTCGTGGTCGATATCAAGCGCTGAAAGACAACATTGACAAACGAGTAGAAGAATTTAGAAACTTGAACGAAATGGGAAATGATAAACTATTAAGTTCAGAAGAATCATCCGTTCAAGAACTTGGTAGACGCTTCACTTTCTTAAATGCACGATGGACAGATATTACAGATCGTATATACAAACGCTATAGACATTTACAAAATGTTAGTTATGAGTACGGGGAATTTCGTGCTTTAGTGGCACAGGAAAGTGATTGGTTGGATAAGTTAAACAAGCGATTAAAAAAATCGCCTAAAACTGCTGCAGACGCGGAAGAAATTTTGGAAGAGCTGGATGTGAGTAAATTGTTCAAATAACTTACTCAAATTATAACAAATCATAACTTACGATAATTCACTCCGCGTAAACGGGTGATGCTTCCAGAGACCCTTATGTATAACTTTTGATTATTCATTCTGCGTAAATCTCTCTGTAGATCTTCTGCGGATCTCTTTCTGCTAGAGACCACTCGTTTACGCTCATTGAAAAATCACAAGTTGTTACATAAACGCTTATTACATAACGCTCGCGTAAACGTAGTAACAGTTTCGTAACGTAATATTGAATTGGCAGCAAATAATGCTAGCAATATATATATCAGAAATATTATAAAAATGTCTGCTTTTTGGTATTATGTTTCGTTTGCTAGAGTTACTCGAACAATTTCATGAAGTAGTTATACTTCCTTTATCTTGTGAAAAACTTTATTACTACGTTTACGCGATCGTTGCTTTTGTAGTAACGATAATTCCTTCGCGTAAACGGGATTTTCCTTTGCGTAAACGGGATTTTGTAGTAACTTACGATAATTTACTCCGCGTAAACGAGTAAATTATCGTAAGTTACTACAGAAGTAACGCTCGCGTAAACGTAGTATATGTATTTATGAGATTTTGTGGTAATATTATCTTATATTACGTTTATGCGAGCGTTATTTTTGTAGTAACTACGATAATTCCTTCGCGTAAACGAAATTTTGTAGTAACTTACGATAATTTACTCCGCGTAAACGAGTAAATTATCGTAAGTTATTACAGAAGTAACGCTCGCGTAAACGTAGTATTAGTAGCAAATAAAACAATTGGCCGTATTTGTAGTATGCGTTCAATGTGTTGATTAATGACTTTAATTAGAAATTACTAAACTGGGGCTCTATTCTTGAAAAATATCGCATACGATGAATATCACACTCTGCAACCAATAGCACACTTGCAAAGTGTGATTTTCTGACATTCCTAAAATATCGTATGCGATATTTGTCGAGAATAAAAAGCCAGCGGCATACGGAGATGTTTTCCTGCTGGATTGCTTGCGATCTAGTAAATTATTAAAAATCTTGAGTGCTGAGTGGTGCAATTATAGTAATTTACTAGATTGCAAGCGATTCAGCAGGAAAAAACATGCACCGTGTGCCACTGGCTTAAAGTCCCTACTCGCTGCTGCTGCATTTTACTGCCCATGAAAACCCACCTTTATTCTCTAGTATTGGCGCGTCCTGTGCAAGAATCAAACCGTTAACGTAGTTCATTTGTTTCAACCTATTAAAACCTACTGAAACCTGGATTGCTTCGTTGAAGATTCATTTAGTGTAAAAATTCATTTCAGTGTAAAAAAAATGGCAAAATATGTGTTATTTGTATGCAATCACCATAAATATCACGTGAGAAGTAAAAAATTGAGGAAAATGACTGTTAAATGTGACAGAAATCGTAAAAAAAAATGTTTTTTACGTGTAATTGCACAAAATAGTAAGTAACATTTTGTACTATCTAACACATCATTCCATATCCTATTAATTATTTCTACATAATTTTTATCTAAAATCTTAAACCAATCTTTGATCATATCCTTGTCTGCAAAACACACTGTCTCCTTCTCCTCCTCTAATTAATATTTATTCTCATCCTCCATGTTTCCACATCTTACTTTTAGTAATGCTTTAATATTATTCCCTGAATTGCCTTTCCCCATGTGTAACTCCCTCAAATACTTCGGACCTTTTATACTTCTTTCTAGTTTCTTATGAAATAATTGAAATTAAATATTCTATTTTTACAGAAAATAAAGTCCATCTTTCTGAAGTTGCTAAAAACTTAAATACAAATAATCCATGTATTGTTTTGGAAAATGTAAAATTAGTGGCCAATAACAACAGTAAGTAGTGTTAAGTACTGTTAGTAGTGTAAGTAGTTTTAGGGGGAAGTCTCGTGTAACATGCTAAAAAGTAAGGTAACTTTTGAAATTTTTTTTTTGAAGAATCAATGCGATCTTTTTCAAACTTTTACAGTATTTTATTATACATGTCAAGAAATAAAAAATTTTTTTTGTTAAAAAATAACAGTTGTGTTAAGAATTATGGAGGTTACGAGGCCGCGGTTTCGTCGCCAGAGTTGTAAATCGGCGGACGTTATAACGCCTGTTGTACTCGCCTGAAACAAAAATTAAAAAAATTTTCTTATTTTCTATAAAATTACGTCGTCGATGAACCTAAAAAAAAGGTAAAACTGAAAAATTAAGGAAACGACGAGACTTCAAAAAATTGCAATTTTGACAAAAAAATTGTTTTTTTAAGTCCCGCCGTTTTCCTTAATTTTTCACTTTTACCTTCTTTTTTAGGCTCATCGACGACGTAATTTTATAAAGAATAAGAACATTCTTTTTTATTTTTGTTTTAGGCGAGTACAACAGGCGCTATAACGCACGCCGATTTACAACTCCGGCGACAAAACCGCGGCCTTGTAACCTCCATAGTTCTTAACACAACTGTTATTTTTTACAAAAAAAAAAATGTTTTTTAATTTTTGAAATGTATAATAAAATACTCTAAAAGTTTGAAAAAAATCCGTCGCATTGATTTTTCAAAAAAAAAATTCCAAAAATTACTTTACTTTTTAGCGTGTTACACGAGACTCTCTCCCTTAAGGCCATTGCATATAACAAAATTTTAGTCATAACCGTAAGGCCGTAAAAGAATTGACTAATCACAATGGATTCTTTTTTAATTGCAAGAAAAATAATTAACCCTAGAATCCATGACTGGGGTCGATTTCGACCCCAGGCGAACTTTGAACTACGCTCCTGAGCTAGCGAGTGACATTATCGACTCAGGACCTGAACCATAATTCATTTCAACTTTCTAAAAGTAGGGTTATGTCGGGCGCAGCGTTAGTTGTTCGCTAGCAGTGAAGTAGCACAGTCGCAAAGCGGGCGTGGGGTCGATATCGACCCCAGTCGTGACTTGCCGTTTGAGTTTCGTCACGGTAAGCTAATTTTATTTTTTTGCTAGAATCAATATATATCATGTATTATTACGTAATCTGAGCATAAATAGTCATAAATATTATTTAAGACGAAATATCACACAATTTAGTCGGTAAAAATCCCGTTGCCTATAGAAGATTGACATTTCGCAGAAAATGGCTGGGCGATATAATGTTTCATTTTTTTCATATTTTTTACTATTTTGTATCAAATAAAAATGAAATAATACTTAAAATACAATTTTTTATGGTTTTTTCATCGACTTTTTCCGTATTTCAACTTTGCGAATTTCTTCATCTTTATAGTCCCAAATAAATATACTTTTTGAACAGAACATAGCGATGACAATTTTTTTTTAATAGTCTAATGTGTCCTCTTTAAAACCCCGTTTGAATTTTTAAAATCGGTTGATTACAAAAAAAGATACAAATTTTTGTTTAAAAAAAGAGGTTTTTGCTGATTTTCTGCGTTTTTCAGTCTTTAAATGGATTTTTCACTAACTAAACTTGAGTAAAATTAAATTTACCGTATACCATTCTCTTCGTTATTAAAAAACGAAGAAATTTATGTAGGTTTAAAGGCCCTTTATTTCTGTAGGACCGGTTTTACGATCAAATAAAGCGTGGGGTCGATATTGCCCCCAGTCATGGATTAGAAGGTCAAAAAAATGAGTCATGGATTCTAGAGTTAACTGATTGGTTAATTTTCTTACGGCCCTTCTTACGGTTACGACATGGACCAGAGCACATACCCTGATAGCACAGTGTCAGTTGGTGCCGTCATAATGCCGTCGTGGTGCTGTTAATATGCACGAAATTCGTGTATATTAACAGCACCACGACGGCATCATGACGGCACCAACTGACACTGTGCTATCAGGGTAACATGATGTAACGACGACGTAGTCCCCGACCTGACAGATCAGGATACGCCAAAGTTTGTGCGTTACTTAAGGCCATTGCACGTAACAAAGATTTAGCCATAATCGTAAGGCCGTAAAAAAATAAACCAATTACAATCGATTATTCTCCTCGCGCTCGAAGAATTGGTCTATTTTCTTATAGCCTTACGATTACGACTAAAACTTTGTTACGTGCAATGGCCTTTACGTCAACGACTATGACTGTCATAGTCGTTGTGCTTTGGGCCTAAAATTTTATTACGTACAATGGTTTTGAAATTGTATACTGGATTGCATTTTTATTATCTACTACAGATTTACATATGTTCTTATTTCTTACCGTAACTACAGAAATACCACAGCGAGATATTTGCACTACTAATATGGACTGTATCAATACCAACAGTTTGAGTAACGGCATTGATTTGGACAATAATGTGATATCTTCTCTTGATAATAGAATTGGCCACGGTGAGGAAAGTAACGCTAATAATCCTATGATACATGCTGAGTCTGATAATGCCATGATATTTTCCAATGACTGTGATAAGCATAGTAAAACGAAAGTAAAGGCTGTAAACCTTAACGTAACATTTTCCTGTAATAATAGCAATAGTTATGAAACGTTAGATGATAATATTAATATCAACAATTCCACGAA